GTACTTAGGCCACTTACTTATATATGTTTATGTAGCTAGGCAGCAATATAATATTACTGACAACTTTGATAGCCAACGGCTGTTAGCCACTTACGTTTGCCTACGTTTTGGGTCATTTTTTTGGTTTGTTTTGTTATTTCTTGATATTCTCTATACATGTTCCATGTGATTCATCACTAACAACAATGACGCTTTTGTATCACAAATGAAAAAAAAAAATATTGTACATCATTGTCTAGTATTTTTGTTCTGTACTTTTATCACAATAAAAAAATTGACATGCAAAAAAAAATACCTGGAGGATGGGGCAGGGAAAAGCCTGGGGATGGAATACACGCAGAGGTGAGAACGTTTCGGACCACCGTGTGGGAAAGGTTCACACACACAAAACAAGAGTGTTCCTACGGAATATCTCCGGTAAGGAGAGGAAACACTCACAACGGGGGAATAGTTTGGACACAGCGCTGTGGAGAGATACAGGCCAGGGTGATTGTCGATGTGGTAACATCAGCTCCGCCCCTCGCTATGTGCAAGCTGTGCCCCGCCCCATCACAGAGCTCCCCGGACCCTGAGTACTTAAGATCATAATGGATACATAAGGCAAGAGAGGGTTGAACCAGAAACACTCGACTTATAAAACATCCTAACTTGTCTTAAGTATTTCCAACGATCAAATGAAGTGAAATGCAAAACATAACCACAACATAATAACAGTGAAAAGTCTGGTAAAGACAACAACCCCAGGTAAGGAAGGGTCAGGTGGCCGAGGGGGGGTTCCCAAGGCCAACTAACCCAGGCCTGCGATACCACAAACCGGTCTCCTTGGACGAGCGACCCCGCATCATCCTTGAATAGCAGTGTGCCTCAACCCCGGATCCATGGGTTGGGCCCGCTGAGATGGTCCAGCAGCCAACCTCTGACGACTTCTGCAACGCCCCATGGATCTAGATGGCCTGGTAGACAAAGACGGAGTCGAATCCTGGGAAGGATTCGACTCCAAAAAGGTGGCCAAGTCCGGTACCTGGCGGGGGTGAGCAAGCCTGAAGAAACGGTCTACTCTGCTGATCAGAAGCGAGATTGGAAATCCCCATCTGTAGGTAATCCCCTTGGTTTGTAGCAGGTCTGTGAAGGGTTTCAAGAGGCGTCTAGGGTATAAAGTCTGGGGGCACATGTCAGGAAGAATCAAGACTTCCGCTCCATCAAAGTCTACTGTCCCCTGCCGCCAAGCTCTCCGCAGGATCTCCTCTTTAATGTTGAAAACGTGTATTCTACACAGTACATCTCTGGGTCTCTTAGCATCCGTCCCAATAGGGCCCAGGGACCTGTGCACACGATCCAGCTCTATCTGTTCTGATGGGGGTCTGTCCAGCAGGGAGTTAAAGATGGCCGTGACCGCCTCGGCCCAAGCAGCCGAGCTGGGAGGCCGCTGTCACCACATGCGGTCTCTCCGATCCCGAGTCGGGAGGAGAAGGCCGGGTTACCGGTGGGAGCGTCGGCGCCGCCTCGTCCGACAAACCGGAGGCATCATAGTTCGGGGAGGCCTGGGTGCGTCCCGTCGGGGTAGAGTACGCGGTTGTCCCGGTCAGCTCCCGCGTCCTAGGCCCTTCTGCCTGGGGCGAAACATAGGCTTCCATCCGGGTTAGCTTCTGCTGGCGTACAGGGGCATGGGGTGTCTTATATTTCTTCCCGGTACGCTTCATGGGGCGAATATTAGGCAGATACACTGAAAAGATACCCCTGGGTCTGCAGAGCTCTGTGGTTTAGCTACCGTTCCGCGTCATGTCCAGGCCACGCCCCCTGGGATGCATTTTTAGTGCAGGAGTGCACGGATCTGGTCAGGACAGAATCCGGACGTCGTGTGAACAAGCCCTTAGGGGTAATAGTGAAACCTTCACATCCACCATCATGGAGATGATAAATCGCAAATGGCTTTTCAGCCAAGTTACAGTTTAACTAAGCCATTTATTCCAATTAAGATTCCACAAAGGGAGCAAGTGAAAAAAATGCTGTATCAACTGCTTTATTCATAGGAATGCATTTGAAAATGCAAAAAACAATTTGAGGTCATCGGCTGATCAGTGCCAATTCCTTAGTGGAACTGATCAGCCTACACAAAAAGAGAAGGCAAGATATTCAGAAAATCACCCACATTCTTCAAGACTTCATCTTTTGTTAGTTGCATATAATTTAAGTTTATACACACATTAGATCACTAGATCCCTTCATATAATCTGTCAACAAATCCACCCCCCGTATAAAAAAAAGCCTTTATTCACAACGAAGGATTAAAGCAGAATTCTGGGTACAATTTTTTTTAAGTGCTCGTTTGTGCCTATGTTAAAAATTAACAAAGTTACACTCACCCGATCCTACTGCTTCTATCCTCCTCAACTACAGTGATGGTATGTCCCTCTGCGTCGACACGTCCTATACACAGTGTATAGAATGTGACGACTCAGGGACCTTAGACCGCTGCAACGGAGGGGGAGCGAGGCAGAAGAGACCGGTCTAAGAACAATTTGGCTTGGAGTATCGGGTGAGTCTATATTTTTTTAAATTTTTGAACCTAGACACAAACAAGCACTTTACACTTGCAGTGGAAGGGTAGCCCCACTGCAAGGGTTAATACATTTTTTTACCCAGAGTTCTGCTTTAAACACAGGGTTCTTCCCTTGCAGGGGTTATTTCAGCATTACACAGAACGTAAAGAATTTTCAGCCTCCTAGCTAATCATTCAGCTCTGGCTGCTTCAGTCCCAGCCTCTGGCTTAAGCTCTATGTTTTGTCACACATAGGCCCAAATACACGCTGCCACATGTACACTGACTTTCACTGGGCTCCTCACTGATTTCTCTGGCCAAGAATGGCTTTCCCAGTCTCTTTTAACAAATTTTAGTCAGACAGTCAGAGCCTCTGTCACATGATGATTAAGCAGTTAATAACCAAGTGTATGAATAATAAAGATAATTTCCCAATTTTTTTATTCACACAGGGCCAATTGTGTATTATATTAACAGTGCTGAAAGACATCCAAGTTTGGAATGTTTTTGTTTACAACATTTAGGACAAATAAGCACATGTATATTCTTTTTTGGCGAAATGCACTAAAATGCACTTACGCCACACTTAGTGAATAGTTTAGAAGATAGAGACAACGAGAATAGGACAAATAGAAGGCAGGGCAATGTCCTGATTCAGGTGGAAGGAAGAAATCACCTTTGGAAGAAAGGAGACCTTAGGTCGCAGAATCACCTTATCTCTTTGAAGAATCACAAAAGGCTCTCTACAATTCTGAAACCCATCTCTCAGATGTGATAACCACAAGGAAGCCACCTTATAAGTAAGATCTGCAAAGGGAATAACCCTAACAGGCTCGAAGGGAGGCCTCTGGAGTTCTGACAAGACCAAATTTAGATCCCACAGTGATTTCGAGAACAAATAGGGGGGAGCTAAATGAGCAACAGGTCTCTAAAAGAGAATAGTTAAGGCAGAGATCTGACCCTTGAGCGTACTCAAGGCCAAGTGCTGTCCAGACTGGATTGAAGAAATTACAGGATACACCCCTCCCATTACTATTCAACTCAAATTGTTCTATTTTTCTTCTATTCTCTGCGATCCTACATCCTATACACCATTTGCAGGGGTAGAACCCCCACCCCTCCAAATAGTGTTACTTTTTTCACCCGTGGATCTACAACATTCCTTGCTAACATATTTCTAAGTGTGGGAGCCTTTCTGTATATAGTCTTAGGTTTGTTTTGAAGTAGGGAGCCAAGGGGCAAAAGACATGTCACATTTCACATGTCTTTTGCCTGAGAAAGGGTATCCTGTGTGACCCCGAAACGTTCGTTGCATCCTGTGTGATATGTTATCACGTCATTAAATAGACGTTGTTTTGCATCGCTATTGGAGTGCCGGTATCTCTGATTTTCTACAGTTTTGTGATAGTGACACCTCTGTTGATTCAGAGGTTCATCAGCGCTTTGGGAGCTCTAGTTTTGTAGTAGAGTGGTATTGACACTTCTGCTGATTTGGTAAACTCATTATTATTTTGCTGATTGTGGTGTGTGAGTATTATTCCTCTGTGTAAAAAAAAAGAAGGTTACATTTTATTTTATACATCAAACAAGGTGAAGTTTTGCGCCAGGGGTGAACACGGGAAACTGCACAGCTGAAAGAACCAACCCGATCGGGACCCTAGGACACAGAGAAAAGGTGCCAGGTAGGCAACCTTTTTGCTTACAGTACTGTGTCACAAGGGGTTTCATGGGTGTCTAGCTGCAAGGTAACCCATCTTCACTAGGCAAACCTTTGTTCTACAAATTCTGCAATGTTCATTTTAATTTGTTGTACTGAGTGGAGATGAGTCATTACTACGAACTGTGGCTGCCTTGGGCAGACGATTGTGTGACTTTGTGATTATGTTTTGGTGAGCAGTTCAGAACGTCCTGAACGACTGCAAGCATTGCATTCACTGTGTTTGTGTTGTCAAGTCAATGTTTTCCGTAAAAATGTGTGTACTGTATGAATTCAAGAAAGTTTCCACTCCCTCGTATGCTGCACTAGTGGTAGCAGGTTTGCTAACTCTAGATATCGCTCCCACCATACCAGTGGCACAATAAGCTCCAGCAATACCACAGGTGTCACCCTTTAGCTCCCAGGTGGAGAGCCTGAGGAAGTTCCAGAAGAACCCATTTCCACATAAAACATTAGAAAGATATGATTATGGAACATTGTTAAAGTTATTAGGATTATTTTAGCTCATTTGCTTAAAATTTCTCCAAATGTAAACTGATAACCTGCACATCATTTGCCACACTACTGTTTATGTCTTTCTTTTTTTTTCTTTACATTTCAAAATATATTTCCACTAATTCTGTAGTGATAATTTGGTGAAGAAGATTGTAAATAAGGATTGGTCATGTTTGGTTTTAAACATAGCTGTAACTATCACAATCAAACACAGTCATTAATGACCATTAAGTAAAGGTAAAAATGTACCTGTGGAGTAGATGGTTCTAGTTCTTTAATCAAGTTAAAAGCTTCTTGCACATCATCTACATTTGGAAAAGAGAGAATACCAATAAAATTGTAATTAAAATGTAAGAAACAAAACTATGCAAAAACCAACACTGTACTCGATTTTAAAATTGATAATAAAAGCCGAAGTGAATTAATCTGCAAAGTATCAGATACAATTGATAGTAGCCATGAAACAATGTGATAAGTAATCTAAAACAAATACAAAACTGTATACCACCTCAGTATAAACCTGTGACAGAAGACAGGGTTAAAAACATGAATGGTAAAAACTTGCTATAGCATGCCATAATGCTTCCTATTGTTAATTGCATGCCATATGAGATAAACCTTTAGAAGGAATAATATGAGGACATGTTCTTCTAAGGGGTAATGTGATCTGATCCTGTCCAAAAATCAGCTAGATTAACCCTATATGGAAACACAACTATGTGAGTCCCTATTATATATCTATTGTTTGTTTGAAGAGCAACGTGATTACAATCTTTTTTTTTTAATCAACTCACCTTGTTTCGTTTAAACATGGTGGTTTATTCCCCATAATACTTGGGAGTTTACAATTTGTAAACATGTTATATTTGTTTATATAGGGACTCACATAGTTGTGTTTGTTTTAGATTACTTATTTTGTACTTATTTTGTGTTGTACCCTTCACCTACTTAAGCTGGGTTAAAAGTGACACAGTGTTAATAATTGTTTTTGTATTTTTATTTTCAGTTGTGATATGTTTATTATGATGGTTTATGTTTAAATATGTCATGGCCGCTATTTGTTTAGTTTGGCTACCATGACAGCTGGGTTCAATATATAACCTCGGTCTAGCTCCTGTCTCCACACCCCTGATGAAGTCACGCCCCTTCACGTAACATACGTAGGGTGGAGCATAGGAGCTGAAAGATACAGTATGTGTATGGCTGCTTACCAAGTTGTTTTATTAGAAGCCTATTTTTTGCCAATAGAATGTGAGTAGGTTTTTTAATAAAATATATTATCCTTTTAAATCCATCTGCACTACGAGTTTCCACTTTTTATTTGATGCATAGTCCATTTGGAGGAATTGACTGCTTTCATCTCCAATGTATTCCAATGGTATTTTTTGCTCCAGTTCACATGGCAGCGTGCAGTTCCAGAGCAGGTGAAAAAACTGCAGCAAGCCCTATTTCACCTGCTCTGGACCTGCTCTGGAACGCATGCAAACACATCAAAAATGCATGCAAATGCCTGGAACGCATTGAAAGCCCATGTTAAACCAAAAATGGCCCGACACGCATGAAAAACGCGGCAAAACCCACTGCACTGCGTGTGCAGAAAACTGAGAGGATCTGCTCTGCATTTGGTGTGAACAAGGCCTAAAGGTGAGGTGCATTCCATAAGATTTCTCTAGTAATGGTCACAGGAGACTGAGATTACCTTTCATCCACTTCTATACAGTATCTTCAATTTCATAATGGACTGTTGAAGATTCATGATTATGGACATTTTTGTAGCAATATATTATTTGCACTGAGGTGTATGATACACACATGAGTTTTGTTTATTGTTATTCGTTTCACATTGTATTACATTGTTTCACGGTTAGTATCAGTTGTATCTGATACTTTGCAGATTAATGCACTTAGCGCGGCTTTTATTTATCAGTTTTATATTCAGCTGCTGCTTGACTTGGAGCACTGGCACGAGGTTTCACAATATTCACTGTACTCTATTTGTATAGCTTTTTATTTTAAAACTAAACATTATAAAAACATTTTATAATATTCATACCACTAGTAGTTTTTGCTTTGTGTAAAACTGTAGAGTATATTTATACAGGATCAAATGTCAAATTTATCAAAAACTCACCCAAGTTTCACCATTCATTCACCTAATTTGTAAAGCAAATTCGCTGTAATTTGCTGATACAATACCACATCAAAAACAATTTGCCTACATCTGGATTTGCACGCTTTATGTTAAAGAAGAACTATGCATTCTTAAAGTGACTGGTCTAGCAGCCAGATGGGACTGAGGTTCGGGTAAGTATATCTTTGTTATTTTACACCCTAGATCAAAGTGAGCACTTAAAGTGATATTAAAGTCAAAAGGTTTAACCCCTTCGTGACGGGAGATGTACACTGTACGTCCCGCCACGTAGTGCCCATATGACTGTACGTGACCAGTTATTTAAGGCTCTGTCATGCCGGTAACCGCGGATTCTCAGCGGTTACCATTCATTAATGAAATAGTTAAGCTTTTGTAAAAGCTTCTTTCTTTCATTAATGAAAGAATGAAGCCGTTACATACAAATACGGGATCACTAAATAGCGATCCGGTATTTGACAGCTGAAGATAGCAGAGAGGTAGCAGAGTGAGTCACCTCTGCTATTTGTTTTGACAGCTGTATAAACTGGCTCAATGCACAATCAGAAACCTTTAGTGAGATCTAATTCTGACATGCTGTCAGGATCAGTCTCTAAAGTTATTATTAGTTGTTCCTAAGTTTGGAGCAGCCTAATAATAACCAAAAATTTAAAAAAGTTAGTTTATCAAGCAGTCATAGTGACTGCTTGATATAAACTGATAAAACACTTTTTTTTCACAGACTTACCCGGCGTGTCCCTGCGCTCCAGCGACATACCGTCTCGTCGGTGACGTCACTCCGGCTCCGCCCACGGGGGCGGCGCCGCGGGTAAAAGGTCAGCTGGTTCGTTACTCGGCGTTCTCTCGTTGTGGAGTGACGAACAGAGAACCTGCAGGCATCCCTCTTTGAGACCTTCTATTCCCCAGTGCTGTCCCAGCAGTAGCAGACGTATCAGTATCGCATCCCCGCTGTGAGCTAAGAGCTGGCAAGGCTACAAACCGCAGAAAGTATCCTGGGTCATTGATTCAAGTGCCTCCGACACTGATACATGCAATTGTTTGCAGTTGCTTGCTCATACCTGCTGCTATCTGTGCTTCTGTTTCCACACGCAATTAACCATTGTGCTGCATCTGCTGCTCATGATAAACCTCATTCTGTGTTACCTATGCTACCCAAGCTCCACTGAAGTTATACTGTCTACCTACCATAGTGTTGCACGAAGGGATTGTTATGCACTTAGTATTGTCTCACTATCATACCTGCTTGAGAGGACTGTATAAGGTTACTGTATTTTTCCTTGTATAAGACTATACTTTTTCTTTAAAATATTTACCTAAAAATGGAGGGGCGTCTTATACACGGGGGGCCGAGAGGAGAACCGCGTTTGCAAAACTGCCAATACCTCTGCAAACTAGCCTCACGAGTGAAACTTCCGATTGCAGAGACAAGCTAACAGGTTTCCTCCAATCATGAGCCTTATGTACCCAACGTCAGCTGATGCTGCGGAGAGCGTGTAGCCAATGCCCAGATGCAACAGGGAGCCCATAAAAATGTCAGAAAACAAAAAGAATACCGGTACCAGTAAGCGGATGTCTTACTCTGCAAAATTTAACCTGGATGTAATCAGTTGTGCAAAAGAGCAAGGGAAATATTGATTTCTGAATTTTGGGTAAGAAAAGTGGGGGGTGTCCTATACATGGGGGCGTCTTATAGATGGAAAAATACGGTACATCAAGATTGCTTACTATTGCTTACACATTACTGCCTACTCTGCTGCTTAATTAATCACTAGTAAACTGCTTACTAGTACCACATAAGTATACAGCCTGCCATCTGTCCGCTTAGTAGTTGGGTGCTGTTAACCGCAACTCACAGTGGCCATCTCCCTTAGTCTACATAGGAGGTAAATGATGTGTACAGTCTCCCTACCGCACTTGGTGTAATAGGGAACCGCTCACTGACCTTCCTCTTCAGAAAACGAATTCCTCACCTGTTCTGCAGCTGTGATCCAGTTATAAGTACTGTCACCTGACTAGCCTTGACAGTTTCTGGGAGTTGTTCAAGGACAGCACATAAGAGAGCATGACTCTACCCTTAGAGGCAGGAAAGAAACATGTCAGACTTTAAAAGCGGTCCCCCAGGTAGTCCGTCAGTATTTTGCAGAGAAACTGAAATGCTCCCAGAAATGGAAAGACTCCCAGAAACAGAGTTACCGGTAAGTCTAACTCTGATTTTCTCTAGTCGTCTTTACAGAACAGCACATGAGAGTATAAGCGAGAACTTGCCAGCTAGGGAGGGAACACAGTCTGAAGAACCTTTCTCCAAAAAGCTTGATTCTGAGCTGAGAGAAGGCCCAAGCAATAATGATGGTAGAAAGTAGAGTAGCTGGACCAGGTGGCAGAAGGCAAATTCTGTGGAGCGGCACCAGCCTGCTCCACAGAAAAGGTGGATAAGGCTCTGGTAGATTGAGCCAAGAGCCCAAAGGGGCAAACCTCCCACACAGCAGAGTAAGCTGTAAAATAGCTTATCTAATTCCTCTAGCAATAGTATTATTCTTACCAGTATGTAAAACAAACAAGGCCTTAGATTTCCTAAAGTCTTTAGTAAGATCTAAATACCTCAGAAATGAATTTCTGACATCTAACAAATGGAGCTCCTGTTCTTTAGCATTAGCAGGCCTAGAACAAAAGAAGGGTACCACAATATCCTGTGACCTGTGAAATTTAGAGGAAACCTTGGGTAAAAAAAAAACAGGATCTGTCTTTAAGATCGATCTATCCTCAAAAATCTGAAAAAAAGGTTCCCAAGTGGAGAGGGCCTGAATCTCGCTAACCCTATAAGCAATAGTGAGGGCAACTAAGAGCGCTGCCTTTAAAAGTACAACATTTCAAATCAGCTGAGGGCTCAAAGGGGTTCCTAAGAAGACATTGGAGGGAATTTTAGGACTCTGCAGATAGGGTTTGCATGCCGTGGGTTCCAATGTCTTCCAGACGCTTCTAGTTCACTATGAACGAGCTGAGGGGACGTGTCTCTTTCTCTCTCCTTGATCCTGAGGTGGAGCCCCCCCCCCCCCCGGGTTTTTTTGTATCCTAGATTGGCCCATTAGTGGGTCCAACTGTATCTTCTTACCTATGGTACCTAAGATCCACGCTTTACTTTGCTTTAGTATGTTCTGT